ACCAAAGACCACATGTTCTCACTCATAGGTGGGAATTGAACAATGAGATCACTTGGACTCTGACAGGGGAACATCACACACCGGGGCCTATTATGGGGAGGGGAGAGTGGGGAGGGATGGCATTGGGAGTTATGCCTGACGTAAATGACGAGTTGATAGGTGCAGCACACCAACATGGCAGAAGTATACATATGTAACAAACCTGCACGTTGTGCACATGTACCCTAGAACTTAAAGTATAATAAAATAAAATAAATAAATAAAAATTTTTAAAAAAAGAGATCAGAATTCTTTGGGAAAAAGCAAATAGAACAGTAAAGATATTGGAGCCACTGCTAGGCAACTCTGCTCTTGCTTGCAGTAATCTAAGCAACAGGGCCATGGTCTCCTCTACAAAATGTTCATCAACACATAATGACATGGTGACTTTCAACAGGTACCCATGTTGGGTTGTTCTTACATATCAAAGATTCAAAACTGAAATTAGTGGAAAAGGAAAAAAAAAATGTATGTGAAAGTATCTTTGTAATTAAAAAAATTACAAGACATTTAAGTAGCTGTTTATACATAGTCGTCACTGTCCCCTAAAATGATTAAGAGCCATATGCAAGTTAATTGGCATGTTAACAAATGCGGTTAGAAAAAAACGAATTGAAGAAAGCCAAGCTGAGTTCAGCCTCAAACATCTATATTGAACATTCTATTTGCCTAAATTAAAATTTGTGCGATAGCTCTCAGCTATATTTTCTTCCATCACCCATTTTCCATTAGAGGAAAAAATCAAAATAGGAGAGAATGTCACCAGTAGTTTGATTGCCACTCAGACTCCCTCCCATTGAAATGCTGACACAGTTATAGAAGAGAATCTTTATAAAAGAGTGATAGAAAATGTTATATGAAAAATACTCCGGAACAATTTACTCAGTACTAGTAAGGAACCATCCAAAGCCATCCTCAAACTTAGCTACACATTAGAATGAGTGAAAAAGTTTCCAAAAATTCTGAAGACCAAATTCACCTATAGATTTTGATTAGATTGCTCTGGGGTTCAGCATGGTTACTTAGACTTCTGCTCTAGGATTTTAGGTGCCAAAACTAAAACTCTGTGCTTCAATACATAGTTCTGAAAAATTGAGCAGTAAATGACTAAATTTGTTCCACGTGTTTCTTTGCAGTTATACAATTTGGTGATTTTATTTTTTAAATTGTTTCCAAGGAATACTCATAAGTTGTTATGTTTTTAATCATAGTACTTTGGAAATAGTTCTAAAGTTTGTTTTCTAAGATATATTTCCATATCTAGAAGAGTTTTCCCAATTTGCTTTATTCTGTTTCAACACATCTTTTCTTAATTTTGTATTTTAATAAAACTTCTCATTAAATGAGCTGACACTGGGTAGTTTGATGCTGTGGTCATAGAATTTAAGCCTGTGATTTGGCTAAGTGTTATGTTTTGAAATAAAATACTCCTAGGTCAACACATGCTCTTATATCCTTGCAGCACGCAGATTTTCTAAAAGGTTAAGTTTTGCTTCGGTAAGTAAGCTCATGTCACTAAAATAAGTCAAATAATTTTAAGTCCAATTCAAAATCGGAGGGCTCAGTTTTCCAATCATGAGAAATAACTGATTAATTAACTTGCTAAGGAAGTGAGCAGCTCTTTTCTTTCCTATGGCAATAAATGCAAATGTGAATGTAAAGAAGTATCCTGATCTACATCTACTTTTATATATAACAAGGGTATGGTTGTCAGAAAGTTATACATATGTTATACATTTCCTTAATGCAATAGCTTTTATACCTGAAGATCTCAAACGATCTTAAAATGCAGAAAAAATAATGCTCTAACAGTTTCAAGTTAAGTAGCAAAACTCTCAGTGCACCACACGGTGGAGTCAGACACCAACAAATCTGTGTGACCAGTATATGACAGAGAATCTGACATATATTTCAAAGACTAAATATGGTAACATCGTACATTTTTTCCTGCTTCTCAGTGATGAATTAAGCTAACTATACCATTTATGAAAAGAGAAATTATAGTGTACTAATATTTTAATTAGCAATAACTTTATCTTTAAATGCAAATTTATAGAAACATATTTTTGTTAATACGATGCATTAAAGTTAGCCCCTATTCTTTTCTTTCTTTCTTTCATCTCTCTCTCTCTGTTTCTCTCTATACCATCTCTTTCTATATTTAAAATGTCATTTTGGTGGCATTCTTAGTGGATCCTTCATCTTACACACTGTGCTTATGCTATTTCACTATCTAACTTTTGACTCTCTATTTCATGGGAATTTCGAGTTGCTTTTTAGGAAATATAATCCTTGAAGCAAATCTGAGTACTTGAGAACTCTGTTCTAGAAAACAATTCACTTACTGATGTATTAAAATAAAACCTTGGAGCAGAAGAATGTTTTAATAGCTTTCAGATGGCTTGTATTTTCCAATATTATGTACTACCATTGGGGAGACTCAATGTCAAGAACTATGTTGGTAATGCAGGTACGACCTGAAATGCATGGAAAATGGATATGAGCTGAATACCCAAAAATCTCTTTCTTCAAGAAGATCTGAAATTTCATAATTTATCTGTGTTCTGCTGTTTGCAAGTACTTTTCTACTGATGTAGTTAATAACATTTTTACTGTAGTTTTTTTTTAGAAAAACCAAACAAAATGTTTTGTGATTAAAAACTAGTAATGTTTATAGAATCCTGAATCCATTTCTAAATAAGAAAAAACACACAGTGCCCCTTATCACAACCTTTTCAACTAAAGATGTTTTGCCCTAAAAGCTCCAATTCTCCTTCAAAGACAATAGTATAATAGCTTTGCCTATCAAATTTGCTACTCATAATTTCATTCTACAAGTCTGTCACAATGTAGTTCTTTATGCATTTTAAAGTACTAATTTGCAATATTAATGTCTAATATTCATACTGCTCAAAATTTTCCTTAATTCCATTCAGAAAGTCACGAGCATTTTTAATCAAACATTCCTTCAAAACTCATGTCATTAGTTTAAATGAAAGCAGTTCTACTCTGAATTTCATTTATAATCATGTAGTTCTTCTCAATTCAGGAACAATCACTCATTCCTATCATGCATTTTACTAAACCCTGCCTGTGGTGGATACGCTAAATACTCTGACTTGATCGTTACACATTCTATGCATGTAAGAAAATATTACATAAATGTTGTATCCAGAAATATGTATAAATATTACGTATCAAAAAACCTTTTTCATTATGACTCAAACTGGGACAGACTCAGGAATAGTTAATGATAGAGAACCTGGCTTGTGTAAGTTTGAAAAATATATATACTGGAGTAGGTATGCGTCAACATATCACACTTACCCTCTAAAATATGTACAATCATTATATATCAAGACAAAATAAAACTTGAATCCTCAATATGATTACTATTATTCCTCACTTCTACTACAGTACTTACTCTTGTTGCCCAGTGAAAAACTATGAGGAGGATTTTACCATCAGGATTCTCCCCAAAATTCTCTTTCTTCATCCCCTATTGCAATGGTATAGCATTCCACAAGGAAACCATATTCCCTGGACTTTTTAAGCCTATCAAAACTACCTATACTCTGCCACGTATTATCAGGGACATTCTTGGTCAAACTTAGACAATATGGTAAACTAAATCATGCTATTGTGTATGCTGACACCCGGGGCACCTATTAACTGTGATTCATTAACTGTCGTTGCATTGTAACCATGATCTACAAATCTAATATTTCACCCCCAAATTGATTTTAAAGTGAAAAACTTCATGCCTCTTCACCAACTGGTGGGGAGAAGGCTTTGAGATTTGCAGCTAACCTTCTACTGCTCCTCACATCATAGCATGTACTTGGTGACTGGGTTTACAACATGTACACAAGATTTGAAAAGCAGCTAAATTAATTGCTACCACACAACCCTAAAGACATTTGAATAAATAATACCTATGATAACTTCACATATGTTTAAATGTTAATTAAAAAATGAGAATAGCATTTTTAAAATACTTCTTACAGTGCGTGTAAATTTAGTTATGGCCTAAAATTTACTCACTGAAAAGTCCACTTAGATTTATTTTCATCACTATTTTAATTCTCATTCTAGAAAAAGAAAAACAGGTAAACACGTTTTATATTTTGGTTTGAATGAAGCATGGGAGTGTGTGCATGTAGCTATTCTGAGCATGAGCATTAATAATTGAGGTGCAAATTTATATTGATAATTTTGTGTTACTAACTGCTTGTAACTAAGACATTTTTATAAAACAATATAGACCATGTGACTAAACTCAATGATGAGTTTATAATAAAATGTTTGAGACTGATTTTCAACAGTGCCACAAAAAATATATATATATATTTTTAAGAAAATAAAAAAGTCTCACTCTGTTCCAGGCTGGAAAACAGTGCTGTGATCTCGGCTCACTGCAACCTCCGCCTCCCGGGTTCAAGCGATTCTCCTGCCTCAGTCTTCCGAGTAGCTGGGATTACAGGCGCCCGCCACCACAACCAGCTAATTTTTGTATTTTTAGTAGAGACGGGGTTTCACCATGTTGGCCAGGCTGGTCTCAAACTCCTGACCTCGTGATCTGCGGGCCTTGGCCTCCCAAAGGGCTAGGATTACAAGCGTGAGCCACCACAACCGGCAAAAAAGTATTTTCTTTACCATTTACTTTCCTATGGTTTTCCTCTAGCTTTTAGTATAGCTTGAAGTCAGAAACACCAGAACGTATTGCTCCTGTCTTTGAATTGTCTTTATTTCAAATTCCTCCATTACATGCTTAAAAAAATAAATCTTAGACTAGTGATCTAGACCCCTTTTTCTTCCTACCTACCTCCAAATAGTCAAATCAGTGAATCAAAACAACCCCCTGGAAAACTAGTTGAATACGTTTAAAGTTAGAAACTCTGCAACATTTTGTTCACGTAATAAAAACAAAAGAACGGAAGCTGATTCCCAGATGTACTTGCCTGGGCTTCCTGAGGCATTTGAGCTGCGTCCACCTTGTCTGCAATATAAGCTGTCAACTGCTTGTCAATGAATGTGAGGGACTCCTGAATTAAGCGTAAGGATTTTTCGATCTCCTGGGCAGACTGGATGCTCTGTTCAAGCAACTTTTGCCTCCTTACAGCCTAAAGAGAAGGAATAAGAGTGTATCAATTAAATGTTTACTCTTGATAGCTTTTCTGTAATCCTGCTGCACAATAAAAGAAGATTCTAGACTCTTCCACAATCACCTTTTTGTAAGATAGACTTCGCAGCTTCCTGGCACTCATTCAGCTCTGCTGATTTAAAAAAAAAAAAAAATTGTGAAGGAGAAAAATAAATAGGAAACAAAACTATAGGATCAGGGATCTCTGCATGAAAATAAATCACAATATCACGTACATTAAGGAAAGAGGCTGGAAAAAAAAATTAGCAAAATCATCTCTGTCATTGCAATCTGTCTTTCTCAGGTCGAATGTTCCTCCTGATCTCATTATATAGTTCAAGAGATTTGGTTTGCTTAGAATAGGGTCATCGTCATCACAATCCAATTCAAGACAGATAATCTACTTCCACCAGTGAGGCACATGTACAATCTGTTCAGAATCAGCTCCTTGTCAAAAACAGAATTTTAGATAACAGTCTGGTTAAAGATTGATTTTGAAAACTATTTCAACCAGCTTTGAATGATCATTTTTCTCCCTACTTTCTTTCACAATTTGGATTATGGAAATTGTTTGTACAATTGGATTTGTGTTACTGCTGAAGTAGAAAAAATAATAAGTAATCCTAATATAGCTGCAATTAATCTTGATTGTTACTATAAGTATGATTAGGATAATTCAACAATTTTCAAATATAAATAGCATGCTGAACAGACTGGAAAGTCTCCCTTCAAGGATCTGTTCACCTTTAACAGAGTAGTTATAAAAGAAATAGGGCAGGCAACTTATTGGGAAATAAGTTATGTGTCATTTAAAATACATTTCCTTAATATACAATGTATAGGTGTGATTATCTGTTACAATATAACTTTCTTTCCCACAGAGCATGATTGAGGTTTTAAGATGATCTTGGTTTTAATATTATATATAGAATATTAGATATTACATAAATACTATATATGTTGGTTCTTAAGCTTTAAAAATATTAGTGATGTCATTATTCTTCCATGAAGCCAACCTATAACACAGTGTTGTCCAAGTAAAAATACAGTTAAAGGCATCTAGACTAAGTGAAAAGGAACGGGAAGTTTAGTGATGCTGCAGGAAGAGGGAAGGCTTTCCCAGTACTTCTCCCTGTACCACAAATTTTGACTCCATTAAGATTTTGTCCTAGGCTTTCCTTTCTTCTCATTCTACCCATACCTTTAACTTCAATTCCTCCTCACATTCTGGCACCTCTCAACTCTACATCTCTCAAGTCCAGATTTCCCCTCGATCTTCATACTTGCATGTTATCGCACCCTATTGGACATCTCCTCATGAATATTCTACAAACACCAAAAGCTAACACTCCCAAATATGAACTCCTTGTGTATCCTCTTCTCACCTACTTCTCAACTCCCCAACTTGCTTTTCCTCCTTCTCTGTATTTATTTCTGTTTCGGCGAAATACAAATGATTGCCTTCATTTGACGTAATTCTAGATATTTCTACTTCCTCTATCACGTCCTTCATCATGTTGCATCTAATCAGTCAATTACTAATTATTTATTATACCTTCTAAATAGTTCTTGATTCCATTCTTTTCTTTCTCTCTCCATTGTCTTTCATCAAGTGAAAATTGTTACTATATCATACCTCAAATGTGGTACCAGTTTCTTCATTGCCTTTTTACTCTGCCACTTCCCACCTGTAAAGTGTTCTCTCAATAATGAAATTATGGCTTCCTGTCTAAAATTCTCTAGTGATTCTTTGCTATCCTTCAAATAAAAGCTTTATTTATTTATTGAGATGGAGATGAAGTCTCTGTCACCCAGGCTGGAGTGCAGTAGCACAATGTCAGCTCACTACAACCTCCACCTCCCAGGTTCAAGCGATTCTCCTGCCTCAGCCTCTCAAGTAGCTGGGATTACAGGTGCCTGCCACCATGCCCGGCTAATTTTTGTATTTTTAGTAGAGACATGGTTTCACCACGTTGGCCAGACTGGTCTCAAACTCCTGACCTCAGGTGATCTACCCGCCTCGGCCTCCCAAAGTGCTGGGATTACAGGTGTGATACATTGCGCCGAGCCAAAAGCTTTATCCTTAATGTGGCTTTAAAGTCCCTTCATGATTAAGTCCTGCTGGTGTCTTTTACTCCCTGCTCTAGCTATACATAAATTTTATTTTTTATTTGCCAACATACACTGTGGCCCTCTTGATTCTTGGCCTTAAACATGCTGTTCCTTTTTACTGGAATAATCTCAATTCTGACTTCCTTTTATTGGCTAATTTACATTTATCTTCTGAATCTAGTGGACATCTCTTCCAAGTGGCTACCTCTGGCAACCTTCTACATTCAGGGAGGTAATTCTTACATGTTCTTTGAATTTTGTATTTTTTTTTTGATTTGACAAGTAAAAATTGTATTAAGTTAGAGCAAGTAACATGATGTTTTAATATATGAATATGTTATGGGATGGCTAAGTTAAGCTATTTATGCATTCCCTCACATGACATTATGTTCTTTCTTGCACTTTGTATGTGTCTTAGCATGTACCAGACCATATTTAATCTCCCATTAATGGTCTGCATTTACTTTAGACTATCAATTCTAATGAGGTCAGGGATTATGGCTGTCTTGCTCATTGCTCAATATCAGTTTCTAGAATAAAGCCCAACAACTTTATGACTGAATGAAAAGCACAAGGAGAAATTTTAATGAGAAAAACAGAAAACTTCAAATAGTCAAAGACAAAAATGGATTTACAGAGGAAACTGAAAGCAAAGGTCACCACTGCTAAGAGACTATCTTTTGGAGAATAAATCTACCTGTTTTTATATTAAAAGTGTCAGAATGGGGGTGGGACATTATTTGGAGAACATTTTAATCTATTTCTATTAAAATACTGTATCCAAGATTGAGGCTTTGCCCTGTATTCCAATTCAAACATAGCTTCCTTTTATTCTCAGTCAAAATTTCAACTAAAATTTATATCAGGTAATTTACTAATTCAGATAACAGGGTTCATGGCTATAATCAGAGCGTCTATTGTAGAGGAGACTGGCTGCAGCCTACCCAGAGCTCTTCCAAAGCAATGGATCTCTAATGATAAAAATTTCAGCACTGTGGCAGGTGGTTAGAGATAACTTTCAATCACAGCATGTAGTAATTGCCTAGTCAGGTATTATTTAAATTTGGTCCTTCCTCTGGCTAAAGGGAAAAACAGTGTACTCTACAAGGCACATCTGTAGATTTTAATTATATAGGATGTAATATAGAATAACATTAAACCACATATCTAGCCTCAAAATTATTTTTAGAAACCTAACTTTGTCTATTCATGAGATTCTATGGGCTGAAAGGAACAGTGTGGCTTAAGAAATGATGGCAGAGTTGACTTCGGGTGGGTTGGTTCTTTTCCTGGCCTGACAGTCAATAAGAAAGGTTGATTTACACAGATTCCTTGATTATCTCAGTCAGTGAAAAGACCTGATGTCAATCCAAGCTTGCAGAATTCTTTCAACTAGTCATGGCATAAGTTGCCTTCTATTTCTAAACATCTTATTAGGCACACCCTGATGGAATGTCAGGCTTATGAATTTTCTTTATTTTTTTATTTTTTTTAGGCTTATGAATTTTCTATGACTTTCAGCCCGCTTGACCTGTGCTGTCTCATTGAATGAAGTTCATAGAAAGTCTTGAACCATAATCTGATTTTTGTTATTGTTCCAGAATACTGTTCAACATTGGTTTAAAATGTTATTTCATGTCTTTAGCTAATCTACTTAGCAGTAAGAGGAATTATGTAGCTAGGCAGGCAGAAACAGCAAATATAAGTTAGAAAGATGATCTCTTAATAACTAGCCATCAATGACAAAAATATAAAAATAGAAAACAATCCTAGTAATGGTTACCAAGAAAAACACATAATATATTTTAATCCAGTTTTCAAAGAAAATTAAAACTAAATAAAATTAACACAAATTATTTTGTATCTTTAAAGTACTATGAAATATAAAATAAGTTTAAGAAAAATATTTTAAGAGTGTAATGAGTTTTGCTGGCAATGGAAAGTCATCTCTACAATGAATTGACAGTTCATCACATTTCCATTTTAAAAATAATGTACTAACCTTTGTGCCACAATATTACAAATACATAAATCAAAGTGTAGCATGTCTAAGAAACTCTGGAAGAAAAAATTCTTCATGTGAAATAAAAAACCAAATATTGAAACCAAAAAATGTATTTAACAATGAACGCATGCTTTAAAAAGCCAAATTAGAAAAAAAAAAAATCATTTAATAATATTTTACAAAAAACTGCATTCATTAAAGGAGCTATGTATCCTATACTATACTTATTAAACTCAATACAAAAAGCAATTTTACTTCATTCACGAGGTGATGGGTAAGCTTATGATTGCAAATGGATTAAGAATGTGGGTGCACTGTTTGCGATCATCTCGTAATAGGAGACATTTATTCTTTAAGTAGTCATCATTGTGATTTAGACATGTGAAACATTTCAATTTGCGGCAGTTTTAAATTTTTTCTTCTGAGTAAAGGATTTTCGCCAATGTCAAAATAAAGCCCTCATTTTTCTGAATGATTTTAGTAGCCAATGAACTAAAGAAAACTAAATCCCAAATTCAAATTCAAATAAAGCAAAGCAACGACAAAGTTTTGAAGTTTCTGCTCAGGGTAGTGCATTAATTGGCTCCAACCTGACTGTCCCTACCTTGCAGAAAGTAGAGCAATATGGAATATGTTTGATTTTTTAGAAAGTGTCTTGGGATAGGAGTCCTGTAAGAGACGTGCTAAAACCAAATCCTACTCAATCTGCTCTTCAGAAACTTAAGTGGAGACCCATGAGAAGACATTAATCTCCATTTGACAACCATGCTTCACTTCACAGACTTTACCAATTAAGCTTTCTTTCCCAGAGTCTCAACTTGAGTGAACCAAGCAACGGGTGAAACTGCTTCCTTTTAGTGTTT